CGCAATAACAAAGATAACGCCTTCTTTTATTATTGCGAATGCTTATCCATGCTTAATCCATTGTGGAATTTATTCGAGGAAATAAGTATTTAAGATTTACTTCATAATTTTCAGGACGGATATTTTGAGTTTTTATATATATTTTTGCCTTGTCGCGAAGTGAAAACTGAATTAATTGAATGAGAAATACTGAATCGTCTGTGAAAAACTGTTTCTTTTTGTTGTTGCTGTTGTTAGCTTAATTTCTTTTATACATCGTTTTAGATTTATTATGGTATTTGAATAAAATATGTGGCAACGATTAGATAATTTTTACGATGATATAAATTTTGTGCATTGTTAGTTAAAAAATGAATGAAATGTAACGCTGTTAAGTGAACCTAGAGCCAGAGTGTCGCTATGGTAAACAAATATAGTGAATTTTAAAGAGCGCATTTATTCTATTGTGGTTTATGCGCTATCGACGAAATAAATTTAATTCAATACAATGAAATGCAAGAAAATATGCGTATAATTTAATATTTCGTGCAAGGAAGTAATGTGGTGCATCAATCAGATTTTCTGAAGTTGTAGTTAAGTGAATATGCTGAAATACTGACGGAAAACAGTAACAACATTACTTCTCTTACCATTACTTGACATCAAGGATACGAATCAAAGAAAATCGAGTTAGCATGGTAATATATACTATTTCCATAAGCTGAAATGGCTGAGAACTGACAGTAGTAGCCATTACATTCAAATTCACTCTGTAATCGAGTGATAATGTGTAGAGTTTATTATAACATAAAATATATAACACTTTCAAAATGTAAGCCTATATTGCTTCAACTATAAATCAGTCCAAAAAAAAAAAAAATACAACACACACGTATCTCATTAAATGGAGGAAAAAGTGTAAACTGTATGAATTATGTCACGGTTTAACAAGCACAGACAATACTAAGTAACATAACAGGCAAAATTCCGCGAGTGTGAGCAGCCTGTTTAAGTATTCCAAAAATGTTTTGTTCATACATCATGTCTATAAAGTATTTTAATATATTATTTTGAATACAAATGTTTAAGAACGGTCTTCGCAAGAAATTTAGAATTCAGTGCAAAACATTAAGATTAATTTTCTCTCTAATGCTCTCTAAAAATTAATAAAAAACTTCAGGTATACAAAAAAAAAATATCCCTGATAAATTTACATATATAAAGGTTTTCACACTATAATTTTATTCGCTTTTCTGGAACAATATGACCATTAAGCGCATTTTATGCATCCAAAAAGTCTCCAGCATTGCCTTATCGCAGTTTTGGACCATTACTTCTATCTATGCTATTTAGCAAAAAGCTTCCTCTCCTATTTAGCTTTTTGCAAAAGTGAGATGTTCTAAATTCACATTATGAAAGTGTAAAGAAATAAAATTTGCAATGCATTTAATACTTTTATAAACACAAGATGCGCACATGAAGTAACAGAAGAAATTAAAATGACCAAATGATAAAATAAAAAAAAATCTGATGTGGACACCACATGACTTCTTTGTATGGCCTATTAAATTATACACATTTTTTGCTGCATTTCATTTGAACTTATTTCTTCGACATTAGAGATATATTTCTCCTTCAGTTAATTCAGTTTTCACTTCGCGGCAAAGCAAAAATATATAAAAACTCAAAATATCTTCATTAAAAATTGCAAAACACAGAAAAATGTAAAACACCTAAAACGGTTAAAAAGAACATTTTTACAATTGAAATTAGAATTTCTACGCAAAAACAAGGAATTCGGCCAGCGACAAGGAGACTGGTTTTTCGGTGCACAAAATTGAAAGTTTACTTTTGGTCCCATTCGGCAAAAAGACACTGAAGGTGCAGAAATTGACTTAATTCACTATCCTTCTGAGTTTCAAATGTAAACAAATGGCGGTTTCGTTAGGCTTCACTCGCCATTTAAACTTTTAAATTGTTCATAAATTCCACAGCTACTGCATGTAAATTAACTAAAGGCATAAAAACCTTAACCGGAGCAACCACATAATTCAATCACTTTAAAGCAAGAAATGAACATTTTATCAACATATAAGAACAAAAACACTAAGCTAACCGAGCCAAGTAACAAAGTGTGGATATGTATAAGATTGTTCAGTCGATTGCAACAAAAAAGTGAAGTGCACAACTACATGTTATAGCAGTCCTATATACAAAATTCCAACGCTCTACGACTACTCATTCTTGATTTATGCGAGATGCATATATACTTACGTAGCAGCCTAGAAAAAATCTCTTCTGAATTAATTTTAAATACATTTTACACTCCTTTTTGGTAAAAAAAAAAAAAAAAAAAGGGAGGGCAAGTAAAATGGCTCCTTTTCTGGACAAAAAAAAAGGGGAGTCCATTATTCTGTCCGTACGTACAGATGTCATGCAAGAACATCTTTCAAATGACTTCGAGAGCGGTTGAAGCGAATATTTTCGTTGAAATACGATACCTGAAATTTTTCGCGATTAAAAAACTAGTAACCTTTATCAAAGAAGTAAAAAGTGAAAGAATAAAGGTATATATAGAAAGTCAGACATCTTAACTCTGGTTAAAGCCAGTTCAAACAGGTTATTTTGTCGTTCGCGTGGCAAAACGGAGTCATTTTCATTTACTGACAGTGTACAAAAAAATTCGCTTCGAGAGTGGAAAACGTTATAACATATTTTGTTACAAATTAGGTAAATCTGCTACTGAAATGTTAGGGTGATGATTATATGGTGATGCACCGTAATTAAGAACACTAATGTGCAAGTGGTACAGCCGTTTTAAATGTGGGCGCAAATGCGTTGGAGATGAACAAAAATACGGCTCCCTTCAACTTAAAAGAATGAGGAAAATATGGAGAAGATTCATTCTTTGGTAAAAGCTCACAGATATGTAACAACTCAGCAAATTTCAGGCCTGCTTGGGATAAGCAAAAAAAGCTGTAGGTTAATTTTATTTAAAAATCTGAAAATGAGGGAAGTTCGTGCTCGATTTTGTGGCTCGGATTTTGATAGAATAGCAAAAGGAAGACACGAAAGCTTGCTGTGAAGATTAGCTGACTATTGAGAGACAGAAGAACAATTTCTTAAAGTGTATCATAACGGAAGATGAGACCTGGTAACTATAATATGACCCAGAAACAAAACTGCAGTGGAAAGGACCGTCTTCTCTCATACCAAAAACAAAACAATGTCGTAATCAAAGACTAAATGGACGCTAATTGCATGTTTTGTTTATAGAGGTGTAGTGTAGTAGGCCTCCTCGTGGTGCGCCTTGGGTTACTTTAAATCTGCTACAGCTTTGACGTTTATGGATGGCTCCTACAGATCCTCCAAACTGTCCTTTTCAGGATAAACAGCGCTTGGTGATTGTCCAGTAGAATATGGGTGGTTTTTCCCAAGGAAATGTTTGGTTTGGTTTATTAGATTATGGCAAAGCATTCGAGGGCTATCTGCCTTAAGGGAGGGATGCCTTCGTGGAGGACTTTTTATAGGAAACTGGCTCGTATACACGTTACACATGGGGAAAACCACGAAAACACCCATGCAGCCAGCAGGTTCGCGGGATTCGAACCTCGGACCGAACTACCAGTGTTCAGCGACGTTACCGCTCGGCTGCGCCACTTATGATAAGTAAATTACCTCAGTAAATACTTTGTTTGAAAAAGAGTAGCAACACCTCAGTTTATCGCGAGACTGTGATTACAACAGTAATTTTCAAATTTTTTGATAGAAATGTGTTTGTAATGAAGCGGTTTGTTGCAAATAATTAAAATAAAATGCTTATGCCTAAAAAGAAACTTCTTGTCTGTCAATTTCAAGCGAGCCGTCTCATTTATCTGATTTAATGAGTATCTTTAGTCTAAAGTAACCGACATACGTAACACGCATAGCTCAAAAACGAGTAGTCTAAGAAAGTTTAAATTTTGCATATAGGACTGCTGTAACACGTAGATGTGCACCTTCTTTTTTGTTTGCTATCGGCCGCACCAAAAGTAATATAAATATTATATATATATATATATATATAATTTTAAATTCACTTAGTTCGAAATCGAGTTATTCTAATACTTGCGCAATAGCTGCAAAATAAGATAATAATTTATTTACTAGAGAAATACTGATTATATTATCTCCTAATATTAATTTAAGTAGAAGTATCTAAAAAGAGTGAACCCATAGGTAGTAAGTTTAATTCCGAAAATTGTTTTCAAGGAACTTGAATGTAAATTTCTAAAAATGTTTTACGGGGACTTGAATTAAATCATGAATAACAAAATTTCAATTGGAAAAAGAAATTAAATTAAAAGCAAGTAATTAAAACTAATCGGTAAACTAATCGGAAATTAGTTGACTTTTCAAGGGGAACAAACCAACTCCCGTTCAATGAACAATAATTAATAAATAAATACGAAGGTGTTTCGTCCTTTACTCAGTAAGGTGATGCCGAACTGGCAAATTAATTAAACTTACTACCTATGAGTTCCTTCTTTTTAGATACGTCTACTTAATTAATATTAGGAGATAATATAATCAATATTTCTTTAGTAAACAAATTATTATTATTATATATATACCCACTCTGTTACTCGGCTCAGTTTCTTTATTCTTATATGTTTGTAAATTGTGCATTTTTTGCTTTAAAAATGATTGAGTTATGTTGTTCTTATCTTCCGGTTAAGGTTTGTATGCTTTTAATTAACCTGCATCTTATGGTTGCAGAATTATCAACAATATTTAAAAGTTGTTTAGGTGCGGGTAAGCCTAACTCAACTTCTCGCCGTCCCAGAGGAGATAGTGTTACAGACAGACGGGCACAGATTTTAATAGTACAGACGAGCCGGTTGCAGCCAAAGCAAAACTTATATGTTCATGTACACCTGAAAAGAAAATGTATAAAAATATTTCAATATGAATGATATCAATTCTATATACTTTGATAATAATAAATTGGCCACGTGATTGCATAAAAAATTTAACTCTACCTCTGCTTTGAAAAGACGAACTGCAATTTTAAAATTCCACCTCGTACGCGCTTCGATGCAGCAAGCAGAACAGCAATGAAGTTCACCGAAAACAGCAACTTGCAGGGTGCGAAAATTAGCATTTTTAGAGTTTTTAATTAATATCTCGGGTTTACGTTGGCTTTCGTTTCAGTTTTATGTTGGCTTGACTAACTTCAGCTTTATCTTAGTCTTGACTCATTTCTTTCGTGAAGAGCCTCCCTGTAAACAATATTTTGAGTGAATACATTAGAACAAATAGGTATCAAATGATCTTGCTGCTTGGGATGCCTTTCAGTAAAACATTAACTTTCCTCACAGACAAGTATCTTGAAAAACCTACGTAAAACATACGTAAAAGTGGTTGCGGTAAATAAATTCAGTGAAAAATATTTTTGTTGCCAAACCAGAAAATAAAAACTTTTGACATTTCAGGTTAATACATATGACGTCCTGATTTAAATTTAATGTAATATAAAAACTTTTTCTCAGTATCACTAAAAGAATTAATGTGGCAATAACATATGTCAATTATCCTAACCCAAAACAAAAAACTTGCCAACAGCAATTATTTATTTAAAATGCCGACATTAACGAAACATTTTCGACTTACAATGACGTCACATGCAATCGCGTGCTTTCTCCAATGTCAGAATATGACTTTATATAATAATAATATATTTAATGCTTAGCAATGCTATTTTTATTTCATATTTTGTAAAACTTATAAATTTTTTATTAACAAACTCTACGATCTGAAAGCAAGCAGTGACAACACTTTTCGAAATAAAACAGATATTTATTTCCAGCATGCAAGACTGTTGCCGCTCGGAAAAATGAGTGCGAAAATTAGCGTTTTCAGAGTTTTTAATTAATATCTCGGCTTTATGTTGGCTTGATTAACTTCAGCTGATTAAAGTCGTACGAAGATGAAAATGGTCGAAATGGCTTCCCACGAATTTTTGGAATCCGGAGGTACCTCTCCCGAAATTCAACTCCCCGCTGTTCGGGAGGAGATAATGCCACAAACAAACAAATAGAAGCGCATAGATTTTAAAAGTATAAATAATAATACCATATTTAACCAATATTTCTCTAATTTTCTTAACTACAAATCAGTTTCTGAATGATAATATCTATGTAACTTTTAAACTTAATTATTACAGTACCATTCATTATTAGCAACGACAATTTTACAAAAACTTTTATGACGGAAACAGTCTTCCAAACCACAGTTTATAGTTTGTTTTTCTTTTCCCTCTTACTCTAAAACATTGGAGGAAAAGAAAACATATCTTGCACAAATTCATTTTAATATTAACGTGAAGGCTCAAGTTTTGGGGTTTCAATTTTTGTTACAGCAAAGAATAAAATATTTGTTTATATAAATGACTGAATCAATGACCTATGAAGAAATATTTTTCAAGGAATAACAGGATATAGAATAAGGTATACATAAGAACTACTGAAAAAAAAAAAAAGTAAAATACAGCTTATTTATAAATAGACTCATTTATTAAGATCTGAAAAAATACGACAACTTGCTCTACAAGTGTCTCCTATTCAACTATCACCACTTGCAAGCTTTATAACCAAAATTTCATATTCTGAAGGTACACTTTGCTCTTTTGTCCTATTTCATCATTCCTGGTAATATTTGAGACAAGCTCCTGCCTATTATTTTTGTATTTGTGCATCTACAATGAATTACTGTATATATGTTACTTATTTTCTGTATACATAAGCACAATGGTTCTGAATTTCAGTAAATATTAAAAATCTAGCAGCTGCCAAATTCAGAATATTATACCCCCCCCCCATTGGTACCCATCTAAATTTTAGAGTATTGACTCAGATTTAAAGGTCACAGACAATAAAGCTGCCACCACTAGTCCATGCCAGTAGAATTAAAGGCAAACCTGACCAAACACATAAAATTTGAAATAACTGTTCAAAAGCTTTCAAGCATGCTCTCATTCTGTTTCACTTGTGGCTCCTTATACACTTGGCAGCAATAGAACATTTACAGTTATTCTAATTAAAGATTAAGAAAAGGCAGCTTTTATTTCTTTCAAGCAACAATTTTTTGGATTAAGCATAACAGTTTCTTGAGCAAAAGGATTTTGGATTCAAATTGTTTGATTGCAAATAATAATTCAGAACACCAACAATGGTTTTCTGCTTATGGAGAGAAATGCTTTCATAAATGATTTTGAGAAGAAACTGGCCCATATTCATGTTACAATGAAGAAAATCATGAAAATTTATAGTAACTAATCTATTCACCAATGAGAGTTACATACCGAGTGCACTACTATTGCTTTGCAGCTTTAGTCATTAAATTTATTCTTGGCTCTAGACTAGATGATTCAATAAGTTATTTTTCCTCCCTTTTTTCCTTGGTAGATGGCAATGATCACTTTTAATCCTTTTTCTCACTATAAATGATTTATGTATGTATCATTTTCACATTTTCATTCTCTCATTTCCTCACATTATTTTCCTAGGCATGTAAGAGGGGAAAATATATTTTCTTCAGAAAAATACATTCAGCTCGGTAAAATCAGCTTGGAGATTCATTCAGCTAGGAGAGTCCCCACCCTTGGCGACAAACTGGGAAAGTGCAAAATCTGCACACTGCTTCACACGTTCCTCAAAATCGTCAACTTGAAAATAACAAGTAAAAAAAATTGCACAAACTCAGTATCCATGAACACATCGACCTATTTTCACTTAAAAAAACATCCCAGAATTGCACAAACTTAGCAATGCACACTCCCTTGACTTTGTCCATGTACAAGTCGATACGTGCCATATAAGTGGACATGCCAAGGGTGTGGGCTCTGCTAGGATACAACCATTCAACCCTATTCATAAATTTTATGCCAATATTTTTAATGTTTTATTTATTTATTTTTTCCAATAGAAACACAAAAATGCTAAAGCTTGGATTTACTGTGGCTTTAATATACACACAAAGGATACAGGAATGATTACTATTTCAACTTGCAATCAAGCATTTTTAGCTCTTACTAAAATACACCAACTTAATGTTGTATAATAATACTAGCTGCCATCTTTAAATTTAACTATTATATTAACTTTTAACCTTCTTTTCTCCCTCCCCTATAGGGTTCTTTTGTTATTATGCTTATTATTGAGTAATATTAGAGCAGCTCATTTTTAATTGTATTATTTTTTAAACTTCTAAACACAACTTGACAATTTGTCTACAGTTTTAATTTACATCTAAAATATTCTAATACAGCAGTGAGGCAAACGTAAAGGCTATCTTGCAGTCAAAATTAACTACCTATTTAATACTTGCAGCTCACCTGATCTACTTTTAGACAAATGACAAGATGACTTACAGTAAAATAGTAAAATTAATTTAAGAGATATTTCAATATATTTGATTTTACCATACTTTAAACCAAATAAAAGAAATAATATGAAAAATGTTTTTATAGCTAAGATATTATTTTTAAAAAAGACAAAAGTCTTCATATTCAGCAAACTTACAATCATTTGTCTATCATTACAAATATGAAACAAATACTTTGCATTGCCAGTTAATTAAGATGTTCTATTATTGGGTTACAGAATCTACTTTTACTTAAAAAATGATGCAACAGTGACTTTAAATTAAATGAAATTTTGGGATGAGCACCAATGTTTTTTATTACATTTAAAGATAAATTAGAATATGCATATCGTTAATTCAGACCGAAAAAAAAAATAGTTATTTAAAGGCAATCATCTTAAGTCTATTTAGAATTTCAACTTGAAGATGAAAACTGGAATTTGGTTAAAAAAATCTGTGAATGTGGCACATCCCATTTATAGAAATTGTTTTCAATCTAAGATAGTAAGTTAGGAAAATTATTTATTATTATAAAGGACTGGAGAACTATTTGTCTCAGAATAACTTTATGAGACTTCTGAAATAAAACTGGCTGATATTAGATAATAAATTGGAAAAAAAAAAAAAAAAAAAAAAAAACTAAGAAAACTCTGAAAACACTTCAGAATCAGTTGTATTAGTCAGGAGGAATTAAACCTGACACAAACTATCAGTTTACAATGGTTTTATTTACTTCGCAACTGGTGGTCAGTCCCTGCAAGGGGATAAAAATATGCATAATATCATTAAAAAAAAAAACCTCCTTATGGTACACTGGAATTAGATAGATGCCATGTTAAACAGTACGTAAAACTTATAAATATGTATTAGGAGCTAAAATTGCATATCTAATTAAGCTATCAGCTTTATATTAAATTATAACTATTTATAATACAATGATGTGCATGTAGATTTCAATCAAATATGGAGATTAATCATTTAAAAATAACCATTTAATTATTACCCTACAGTCAGTCATTTACTTATTTTAGTTATTGATAGTATAGTCAAATATTAATTCAGGAGACAAACAACAAAAATCAGCATTATATTTACAAAATTTCACAGTACGCTGATTTTTGTTGTTTGTCTTCTGAATTAGTATTTATTTGGCGTGTTATTGTGTCTTAATTATAGTCAAATATTTTAGATAAATTTTACTGGAATGAACATTTTTGAAAACACCATCACAAACCATGAAATGCTTTATAATTGAAAACTGATGGTATAAGCCAATTTCTTTTACAATTAAACAGTCATAAGAAAGTACTTTAACCAGGAAAAGTGTTAAAACTGCTTCTCGGACACAAGCATTTGACATACTTTTTACAAAAACGAATTGCACAAAAAGCATTCAGGAAATATTCCTCCTCTCGCTTTTCTCTAGGGTATCATTACTTTAAAAATACAGAAAAACACTGAGATTCTAAATACATTTTTCAGCATGATCAAAATTAATATACTAGAAGTACTTCTGTGAATTTTTTCAGTAAAAAAAAATATATATATATATATGACAAAAATGTTTAGATTTTAAGGATTACAGCAAATAAATCGCTAGAATTGCTCAATGATTTATAATGCATATCAGAGATTTTTAAAACCCAACAAACATATAACATTTATACATCATTTTAACTATTATTAGAATGAAATGTATTTGCTTCTATTTCGAATAATACAACCCACGAATTTCAGTACGTAATTCACTTTTAAATCTATCTTATACGAACAAAATCTAGATGATCGTGAAATTTAAATAGATTGATTAAAGTCATAAGTGTAAAACACATATTTCGTTGAATGAGCAATGTCAATCGCTTATCTCAATTTAATATGAACAGTCATCGAATAATTAAAAACAAACTAAACATATTTTTTAATTTCCTATTTTCCTTATTATAAGACATTACAAGGTTTAAAAACATCAATAAATCAGTCCCATAAAATACTGTCTTACAATGTACGGAAGAAAAAAAATAATAATAATATTCAGTCTTAACAAAATAACAAATGCCTCACTTTTATTTACACTAAAAAATTTCAGTACCTTCAGGAATACTCTTAAAAAAATAAAAATCCAGACAGTGATATTTAAATGCCGCTTTAAAATTTAAATGGACACGGTGAAAAAAAATAAACATACCAAGAGTAAAATATAAAAACACCGCCCCAATCTCAATTTTAGAAATTTTTTCAGTTATTAATTATAAAAAGAAAAGCAATCATTTGCCAAAATTTAGCTTTAGTCAGTATCTACACTAAATGAATCTGTACAATCTGTTCAAATCTTAAATAGCCGGCTAGCCATAACACTATAGCTTTCTTAAAATAAATGTTAGTGCTTACCGCTTTAAGAGCTGCAAGTCTATCCTTGGTCATGCTGATAACCTTTTTAAGTTTATATTTTTACAGAGTAAATTTCTTGGAGTATTTTGGGGCTAATCACCATATAAATTGTAAAATTTCACCACACACATTATTGAAACGAACACAGTACAATTTTTCATCGATTTTCTGTCAGCACAGCCGGTTGCCGAGGAGGAAGCGACATCTACAATTTATTCTGTTCAACACGATACACAAGAAGCACAATTTAAATTGGGCGTGGCATCAGAATATACATTTATGATCTAAAATTGTATGTGTATTCTAAAACTCATATTTAAGGAGAAAAATTAATTTGATGATTTTTTTATAGCAATCAATAAATTTATTCACATAAGACTCCTGTCGAACAAAAATCATATGGACATAAAGTATTTCAAAATGCTTAAAATAATTTGTGATCTATTCGTAACAAAAATACTTAGCGGTTACCTCTTATTATAACATTTTTTATGACCTGTACAATATGTATCAAATCGCGCGTTATACTAAAATATTCTGAGATCCCCATATTTGCGACTTCACTGTAACTGCAAGCTTGAAAAATTATTATTTGTTTATTTAATAGCAGACGTATTTTTGAAATAGTTAATTTACATCACTATGAAATTTAGAAGTCTGTTGCATTCAAAAATATGCTGCACGCGCCAAAATTATTGTTTTTCTTGTGTTCCCGAGCATGAGATTACTAAATCAGAAGATATTGCAATACTTCAAAATTTTGTTGACAAATTTTCGAATTTTCTAGTACTCACTGGAGCTGGAATCTCTACCGAGAGTGGGCTGCCTGATTATAGATCAAAGGGTGTTGGCTTATATGATCGAAGTTCTACTCGACCTGTTCAATATAAAGATTTTATATCCAGTGCACAAGTTAGAAAACGATACTGGTCAAGAAATTTTGCTGCGTGGTCAAGGTTTTCATCTACGCAACCTAACGAAACCCACATTTGTTTAGCCAAATGGGAAAAAGTAGGTTTAATTAATTGGTTAGTGACGCAGAATGTTGATCGATTGCATCATAAAGCTGGATCAGAACGTGTTACAGAATTGCATGGCACCTCTTATATTGTAAAATGTCTGAATTGTCGCACTTCTTTTTCTAGATTTCAATTTCAAGAACAACTTTCAGAACTCAATCCACATTTTACGATTAGAGCTACAGAAATGAGACCGGATGCTGATATAGAGATTGATCCTTCACTGGCGGGTAAATTTAATATTCCAGATTGTAGAAACTGTGGTGGAATTTTGAAACCAGATGTTGTGTTTTTTGGAGAAACTGTCCCAAAAGAGAAAGTTTTCCTAGTATATGATAAAGTATCTGAATCAGATGCTGTTCTTGTGTTGGGTTCATCTCTAGAAGTAACTAATCTCTTAACTTTATCTGTTTACTTTATTTATTCCAGTGAGGTTACATGTACACTTTTTTAATGCTAGAATTTATGTAATATAATTTTCCAAGCTTCCATCATCAAATGATAGCTTTGTTATCGTAGTTTAGTCAGAGAAGTATATTTAAACTGATTCAAAAATATGTATTTATTATGGTATATTTCAAATAAGTTGTTATAGATAATTTGTAATTTTTTGTTCATAAAATTTGTAATCCTCTATTTTGTTATTATTCATTTATAATTTAAATGAAGACAGCCAAAATTCATCTTTAAGAAGAAATCTTTTACTGGCAATGCGTTAAAAAAAACTATGAAAATATACAAAAATTCATATTCATGTTCATTCAGTTTCACGATCATGTTGGTTTTATAGAAAAACTACATTTTCAAGAAAGGCTGTTAAATAGCCATATTAAGAGTAATGTTTAGTAAATAGCCATATTACTAAACATTTCAATAGTTTATCAGTTGTTGCTGTTGTTGATATTGTAAACTTCTCCTTCAAATATCTATCACTATGAGACATTTTTATCAGGGGTTTGGTGTCTTGATATATTCCTGATGGAAATCTCAGAAAATGTAAAATATATTTTATATTTATTTGTTTATTTTATTTTGACATTTCTTAACTGTCTGAAGTGATTGTTTATTAAAGTTTCATTTTTTGCTGAGCTTGGTGCTTTTGGAATTGATCTCAATTCTATTTTGTTTTTAATTTATAATTTAAATTTATCATGGAATTATTTAAAGTTTTTTTTTCATTTGTGTCAAGTTTAAGTAGTAGTTGTTTGTACCTTTTGTATTGTTTAGCCCTTTTTCAGGAAAATTCAATTTGTTCTACTTTGCTATAACTGAATGTTATTTTTGAATTTGCTTTGATTTGGGTTTTAAGTTACCACTACTGAATTACTGCAACTTTCAGCATGATTTAGGTTTAGTTGCACCTAATTTTTCTATTTTATTTAAATTATACGTAATATATATACTGTGGTATCTCAGTATATATCATTAATCCATTCCAGGTCATTGCATGTATACCAAATGAAGCTTTCCATTTAGAAATAAAGGGAAAATTATTAATCTGTTCTTAAACAAAAATCCTGTTATTATAAACCTTTTATCACTAAAATACAAATGCAGTGGGTCAAATATAGGATAAAGTGCAGAATTGCCCACTTATTTGTTTGGCGCTTTTTGAAAGAGTAAGAATTGGGTTTTTGTCAATATTCTTTGACTTTTTAAGTGAAAATAGATCGATGTGTACATGGATAAAGTCAAGAGAGTGTGCAGTGCCAATTTTGTGCAATTCTGGGATGTTTTTTTAAGTGAAAATAGGTCGATGTGTAAATGGATAGCGAGTATGTGCAATTCTTAAAAACGTGCCAAGCAGTGCATTCTGCACTTTTCCAGAAATATATTTTGTAAGTAAATGAAGCACTGCACATGATACTATACATATTTTTTTTTTCTGCTATCCAGATCAAAGCAATTTTTTAACCCTTTAAGTGGCAATATTTTTTATGATATCTGTAAGAACATATTATACGTGCATATTAAAATATGTCAAAGAAATTAAGACAATCTATCAAAAGAAAACAAATCCAGATATGAAATACCAGGAGAATTTTTACATTAAAATCAAAAAGTAATTTGTTCTCATAGCAGTTTTGGGAAATTTGTGCTTTCTTAGCGAAAACCTTGGCCAATCAGAGGGTTAACATGCTCCAACACCTCTGTTCTCTGTCTGGTAATCAATTCCCCCCCCCCCCCCTTAACACTGTTAGCCAATTTAATAGTATTTTTGATTTTCACTGTCATGTCACTATTGTACACAGCATACAGTAAACACTAGCCAAATCCCAGATATGTATGCCATCTACATAATTTTCACAGTCTCTTTTTTCACCTCCATTGTGATCCTAATGATTTTCTTCATTACTTGACTTTCCTAAAATTAATTTTCCTAAAATTCACTGTTGATTAATTTATAAAAAATGTACCCCAAAAAATACAAATTCTTTACAAGGATTATTTTTAATAATGGATTCATACTTATCACCAATATAAACAAGCTTGCTTATTCCACAGATGGGGAAAATGCAGAATCATCCACTGCTTTGCACGTTTCTCAAAATTTCCAACTTGAAAATTACAAGTCAAAGAATTGCACAAACTCAGTATCCATGTACACATCAATCTATTTTTACTTAAAAAAAATCAAAGAATTGCACAAACTTTGGATTGCACACTCCCTTGACTTTGTCTATGTACACATCGATACACGCCATATAAGTAGTTGATTCTGCACTTTACCCCAACAGAACAACAACAACAACCTTAAATTCAGTAGTTGCACAAGCTCAGTATTCATCAGTTTTGGTATTGCGCATTGGCCAAAACATGCATGTGCTTCATGCATATCTGGGTTACCACTTGAAACCTTTTTGCTGACATCGTAGTTCACATATAATTATTTTGACAATGTACAGCGTTGCCTTATGAATACTTTTGTGACTTTTTAGTGGGATAGCAGATAATTGGAAAGTACCAGTGTAAAAAAATAGTTAGCATTGAATGCATTTTCTTGTAAAAGATACTCAAACAAACATTTCTTTGCAAAGATGGCAATGAGTTATCAAATGCTGTCTAAAATCGTCTGCAAGTTTGTGACTTTTCATGGGGGTTAGAGAGTTCCAAACATTTATTTGCAAAAATATATACATATATGTATATATGAATCAAAAAGCAAAAAAACAAAATTCCATTTAAAAAATTTTGAAGGCCCAGCCTAATTTGTCCAGGCTACATTATAAACTGGTAGAAAGCAAATTAAATAAAAATTTTAAATTAGAATTCAATAAAGTTCACTTTAAAGAGTAAATCATAGAAAATTTAATTATGCATGTATGTATGCATGAATGTATGTGAATGTGTAAATAACCATTAAATATGCAATGCTGTATATTCTGAAAATCAGAATTTTATTCGTTTACATCCAAAAATGGTGTCTGGTTATAACCAACACCTTCTTAAACAGTTTCTTAAACTGTTTAAGAAGGTGTTGTTATAACTCGTCACAGACTGGGGAAATCGTAGTGTATCTGTGTATTTTAATTTCTTCAATGATATTTTTGTATCTTAATTTTTTAATTAAATAAGTACATATGATTTTGCAAAAGATTAGTTAGCCCGCACTGCATAACATACATGCCAACAGTTATGAATGATGAGGAAAATTTACATATTTTGTATGAATGCATTAATAAATGCTAATATTTTAGGTTTTTTAATTTAATATATTTGTTATTAACTTTGATAAGAATGAACTGAGAATATTTCCATCTTTCATTTGATTGGAATGAACTGAAGAAAGATTTAATTTTTTAATTGATTAGTACAGATTGAGAAAATTTTCATGTTCCATTTCTGTATCTGAAAGTTGCAAACTTTGAAACGGATATATACTGATTCATTATCAGAGTGGATGTTTCTTTTCTTGATGTATATCTTTATATACTATATATTCTGGGTTATAACATGCACTTTTAATATGAGAATAATTACAGGTGCACGTTATACATTGGATATAAAAATGATAGATTTAAAAATAAGGAAAAGATGAAAAAAATGCATTTCTACATGTACCTAAATGCTGTTACTGGTGATTTTTGCAATTTTTTTTGGACCTAGTTCACAATACTTTCATCTAGGATAGGCCATTTCATTACTTCTTTCCTCTTAGCACATTCATTCTTTAGCATATTAATTACTGTGGTATTATTTTTCTTCCACTCATGTGTGGAGTTTTTGCCAATACCAAACATCCTTGCTGCTGCATTATTTCTATTTTCTTTCACAAAGTGAATTACTTTGCATTTGAAACCAGCAGTATGATTGTTTCCTTTGGTAGGAGCCATATTTACTGCTAAAAGGAACACTACAATAACTGTATTTCAGCTACAGCAAATGTGACTTACTAAAGCCTTCGATATTCACTTCAAAACCACACCTTCAAATAACTACAGAAAAAGAAATTGTCCGACTCCTAATTCTGTGAATTCATTTGGGTCGGAAGTATTCTGCATCCCAAATTATTTCTCCCTTTTCTGAAAACCTTAGAATTACATTCTTGTGAGCATTTGCATTCAATACAGCCTACACTCTTTGCAGAATCTCTCCTTGAGGTATTAAATCCCTCAAGCATTCCCCCCCACACACCAGTTGTTCCTTTTATCACATGTCAATTCAGTATACCATTATTCAAAAGCCTGCAAAAAATCTTTGAGTGAATGACTTCGAAAGATACAGCATTGCACATGTAAATTTCAGGTTTCTTCGTAATGAAAAGGGTGGGCATTATATGGCGAATATACCTAAAAATTTTTAAATGCAGTTCAAAATTACAGGGGCACATTATACGCCAGAATATACGGTATGTACTGTTACTTTTCATGTGGTTTAATATTCAATATTATCGGTTTCTTTGTTTTTGATCATGGTTTATGGGCAGTAGGTTTTGGCTATGAGAATACCAATTTCCTAAATTGCAAGAAAATGTTTTTCTTATTTCAAACCAAGACACAAATATGTATAATTTCTTCATATTTCATTTATTTATTTGGTGCTGTTCTGTTATCGGGACCAGATTCAGAAATAAATGTATGTGTAATAACATGTGTATGAATCTATGTGTGTATATGTGTTTGTATATGTACACAGGTATGTACATATACATACATACGTACATGCATACATACCTTTCTGAATTCGACCCGGATAACGGAAGAGTACCATTTATTTATTTATGTATGTATGTATGTATGTATGTATGTACTGTTACTTTTAATGGGGTTTAATATTGTAATGTTATCAATTTCTTTTATTTTGATCACGGTTTATGGACAGTAGGTCTTCTGTTATAAAAATACCAATTTTATAAATTACTAGAAATTTTTCTTTTCTAATTTCAAACCAAAGCAAAAATAAATTTTGTCAAAAAGTATGAAATATAAGTTATTTTTTTAATTTATTTATTAAAAACATTCACTTTTATGTATAATCAGATATTTTTAATCTAAAAAATATGTTATTTATTTACACAGTTTTGCTGTTATTTTTTCTTATAGGTTTACTCGGGATACAGATTCATATTAGCAGCTTCTGAGCAGAAGAAATGTATTGGCATTGTAAACATTGGTCCAACTCGAGCTGACCATCTCGCAAGTTTTAAACTAAATGTGCGATGTGGAGATATTTTACCCAAAATACAAGTGCCATTTAGTGAGAATACAAGCTTATGATACTAGTAAATTTTATATTTTCTTTATATTGTAAATTAAATTTAGAATATTATGTCATTGTTGTACATGTATCAGTTTTATCCTTTTGAGTATATTTTTCATATATGCTATTATATTACTCTGTGTTTCAAAAAGAATATACATATTATAAAGTGTTATTTTGTTCAAACTTTCGATAACTGCACCTCGGCTCTGCTATTGGTGATACGAATACATAGTCTAATTTATATTAATAGCTGCTAGATGTCAGTTGTCTTTTGTTTTGCATGGTAACCGTTACATGTTTAAAATGGCTACTCCGCAGCAGAAATCATTTTGTGTTCTCAAGTTTGCGAAGTGCAATTCCGTGATTACAGTCTAAAGACGTTTCAAGTTGAGGTACCAAAGCGATCCTCTGAATGGATGGAACATTTGCAGATGGTATCGACAGTTTGTAAATACAGGATGTATATCTAAAGGAAAGCATCCTGGCTGCCCTCATGTTCCCGATGAAAATGTTGCATGAATTCACACTGCTTTCCAAAGTAGTACTTCAAAATCAACTTGTCATGCAAGTAGGGAGTTACATCTGCCTACAACAACAATTTGGCGTGTTTTGAGACCTAGGTTGGTTCTGAAGCCCTACAAGTTACCTTTGTTACTGGCTCTGCATCCTGATGACAAATGCAAATGTGTGGCATTTTGTAACAAGATTATTGATGCTATTGACAATGATAACACTTTCACACAATGCATTGTGTTCAGTGATGAAATGACTTTTCATGTTAGCGGTCATGTAAACAAACACAATGTTCAAATTTTGGCCTACTCGTACAGAACCCACATGCAGCTTTTGAACATGTACAAGGTTTGCCCAAAATCAGTGTATTTTGTGCAATATCCTGATCATCTGTTTACGGCCCATTTTTCTTTGATGGAAACACAGTTAACAGTCAGCAGTATCTTGCTATGTTACAAAACTAGTTGTTTCCAAGGCTGCATGAAGATATCTTCATTTTTCAACAAGATGGGGCACCCCCTCACTGGTGTTGCCAAGTGCGTAATTATCTGAATAAAACTCTACCAAACTGTTGCATTGGTCGTCAGGGGGCTGGCGACTTAGCATGTCTCAGCTGGCCTCCGGTGCCTGGATTTGACATCCTTTGACTTCTTCTTGTGGGATTTCAGTAAAGATAATGTCTATATCAGTGGCGTGCGGTAGGGTTTTCACGCAAGGTATGCAGAGAACAACAACAATAATAATAACAAAACCATAAAAATGTACATTAAACACTTCTTTAGCTTTTTATTATTCATTTGTATACAAAATCCACACATCTATCCATATTACTAACAAAATCATCAATTACATGATCATAAAACTCTGGTTTTGACTGTAATATGTGTAACATTTCTTTTTCTATTGTTATTAGAGATAAATTGCTTAATCTATCCTGGCTTATTGTATTGCGTGCATAATTTTTTACTCTTTTCATTGCTGAAAATGATGTCTCCACCGAAGCAGTTGAAAATGAAATTGTACAAATTAAATGTGCCAATTTATTTACTTCGCTGAGGGCATCTGTCAAATCATTCAGCATTATATACTGAATAAGTTTCGATAAATTCATTTCGTGGTATGACTCACTACGATAAAGAAAGCATAATTCATTGGTTAGCTTTACAAAATCGAAATGTTTTGCATAAGCGTTCTTTAATGAATTAAGGCATTCCTCTGGAAATTTATTTTGATATTTCTTAAAAAAACTAAAATTCAATAGTTCAAAAAATTTGAGCAAATTTAATTTTTTAAAACGGACATCTAACTGACAATATATAGTGTCCATTAATTCATAATATAAATTTTTAAAATGTTGGTCTTGGTCTAAACTTCAGTTTTGTAAATTTACACGACGTTTTTTTTTTTTTTTTTTTTTTTTTTTTTTTTTTTTTTTTTTTTTTTATTTGGGGGACCCACTGCAGAAATAGTCTCTTCATAAACTTCATCAAATGCAACAGAAATTCGCATATTTTGAATTGCATCTTTTACTTCCTCTACTTGTTGACTAAAATATGCTATATCTAAGTTAGTTTTTTGTAAAATATCAAATAGAACATTAGTATAACTAAACACTTTGGCAAAAATATTTAGGAGAAAATTACCGTTAAATTCTTCAAAAAACATGTGATAACTCTTTGCAATATTAATTGTATCGTTATCCCAGCATTCTGAATTCTCAATGATATTTTCAAATAAATCAGATAGGCCTTGCCTTTCGCTTTTTATGGTATTTACCAAACGAGATGAATAGTTCTAACGTGTTGTAGCTAATTTTGGAAATTTTCTTTTAATAATTTCATTTAAAACATGATTTCTTTTTGTAGATAATGAAAAAAATGAGGTTATGCCAGAAATTGTTGCAAAAAATAATTTACAATCTTTTATAAACAATACAGATTGCGACGGAACTAAATTAAGTATATGTGCGCAACAATGCACAAACATAGCTTCTGGGAAAATGTCTTTTACTTTTTTCTGCGTCCAATTCAACGCTCCTGCCATGACTGCCACCCCATCATACATTTGAGCAATCAGTTTATTCTCACACCCCCAACTCAAAATCGTTTCTTGCACAACATTACACAAAGCTTCAGCTGAACGATCACCACTAACATTTTTAAAAAACAAAAATCTTTCCACTGGTGCACTACAATTATTAACATATCGTAGCACAACTGATAATTGCGATTTGTGAGATATGTCAGATGTTTCATCCAGCATAATAGCAACGAATGGCGTTTCTTTTACCTCATTTCTAATTTCTGAAATTACAATATTTTTAATCAATGCAATAATATCATTTTGTATTCTATTAGAGGTTCCAGAAAATACATTTGCAGTTCTTAGATGTGTTGCTAAAAGATCATCATATTTACTAATTAAAGTTATGAATTCTATATAATTTCCTCGATTAAGAGAAGTTATATTCTCATTGTGTCCACAAAATGCATCTTCTTGTTTTGCTAAGTAACAAACTACATCTATTAATCTCTTGAGAATATTTTTATTTCTTGTTACTTTTTCATTGTGTTGAACAATCGATGAAGCCTTTTGTTGATCTAACATTAAATCTATCCTGGCGGTACCAAATGTTTTTAATAGTATTACGGCATTTATGTGAGATTGTGTTTTTTCATGTTTCTTTGCAGCTTCGTGGAGAGGATTTAAATCACTATAGCCTTGTTTTGTCCAAATATTCTTGTCCTTTTCAATTACAACAAAAAGTAAACATGGCCAACAGTACAACTTATTCAATTCACTACAACCGATTAACCATTTAAATTTTTCATACATAGATTTTTGAAAATGTTGTACTACACACTGTTGTCCTGTAATCTGAACGTTTTGCGATAGAATAATATCCAGCGTCGGTCTACTTAATTTAACTGTTTCCTTTTTTGTAGTAATGTCTCATCTCGAAAATGGATTTTCCAATAAATTTTTAATTATTGAGACATCTGAGTTCTCCATTCTGAAATGGGTTATTTATTATGAATATAAATTTAAAGAATACAATAAATAAAAATATGTACCTACGAGTAGTTGAGGTATAACTATAAAAACAGCTAAACTTACAATAATTCTACTAGCACTGAAGCAAAAATCGTGTCTTGTGTTGTATGGTGTCATATCGGCGGCGAATAAACAATGCTTCGGGCTTCAAAGAAAAACTTATATTTTCAGCAAACGTAGCATCACACGGCACCCACCGCTGCGGTGCCTCATCATCAGCCTGATGACATCAGGATGCTCATTGGTGCCGACAAACCGAACGTCTATTCCACATGCAGAGGATTTCACTGCACGCTGGCACAATAGAACGAATTGTTTCTTGTTCGGTCAGTGGATTAAATTATATTTATAAATTGTTTTTAACATTTGGAAATCATATATTCTCCGAAAAACATCTTGACAATTTTTAATAACAAAACCAGGTATATGGTGTTAGACAGATAATAATTTATATACCGTCTGTAAGACACAATGAATAGTAAAATTTGGACTGTTCTGTTAAAATTCGTTTCTTTTTTGTCTAATAAAACAAAATTGTTTTTCAGCGAATTATTTCAATAAATATAATATATCACCAAAATTACTTTACTGCACTAAAACATTTCTCTTTATATTGATGAAATACTTCTTTTATATTTCCATAAAAACAAAATCTTACAATATACTATAAATTTAAACATTAACCGTCTGCAAAATCGTATGGCCAGTTAATCAGTTAAAAAACCAAAAGCGCTTCAGCACGTAAGTCCCCGCTCTAATACAAAAGCTTAATAAACCGTACCTTCGGATGATTCTGAATGCCAAGTGCAGGAAAAATAGCTGCACTTGCCTCAGTGCTACAGTATGCTGTGCTTCTCCAGTAGCCCATACATATAAAGTGGGATTTTCTATTAGTGCACAGTGCATACACATCAAAACTTCCTATGTTCGTTTGCTTTTGAATGTGTTACGTAGTGTAGCACTTAGTACTGCACGCACTGCGGGAATACAAGCAAGCAAATCAACATATATTTGAATATATTATAAATAATATTTATTATAAGATAGGTGCAGAAAGTTATTGTTTCTCATAATTTTGCCAGAGTGTGCAGTGTGCATCCTGCACATATGGACTGCACGCCACTGGTCTATATGCCACCACTCCCACAGAACCTGGAAGAGGTGAAGAACCGGATCCATATTGTCATAACATCAGTGACAACGGACATGCTTGCCCGTGTATGGGAGGAATTTGAGTATCAATGTGATATTCTTCGTGTTGCTGATGGAGGACATATTGAAGATCTGTAATCTGAACTTGAGAGGCTTGTACATATGTGTGTAAAGTTTCTTATTCATATGTCATACAGTTTAATAAATATATGCATTTGAAATACATATATTCTTTTTGAAACATGCTGTATAATGCCTTATATCAAGCTCTTTATAAATAGAATTTTTAGATACCTTTAATTTAGACCGCTTTATTTATTTCTGATGAACCACATCATCAGACGAAAATATAGTGTCAATAATTAAATGTCTGTATTCATGTTTTTGAGCAAATAAAAAAATAGATGCAATTTATTTAATCATTATTAAAATCCTCCATTTGTATCAGAAAGTACTGTGCAGTGCCAGATTTATATATAAGCTACGCAAGCTATAGCTTAGCCCCCACATTCTTAGGGGCCTCCAAAATATGCACCATATCCCAGATTTAAAAAAAAAAAAAAAAAAAAAATTCCCATATTGCTTATAAAGGCTGCAAATTTAAAATAGCTTAATGCTTCAGCAAGTCTAAATCTGGCCCTGGGATTGTGGATAAAGTACTGAATGCCAATACATTATGCTGGATTCAACGTTTTATCTGCAATCCCAGGGTCATTGCTATAGCTGAATGAACAGGCTTATTGAGCTCATGATTTTCTGTGTTTACATCATAAATATAAAATTGATGTGCTGACCACTGCAATGGGTATGTGCACTTGTGATTTTCAGTGAAATAATTTCATTGTGCATTTAGTTTTCAGTCTGTAAAATATTCTTCAATGTTGTTTATAATCTGCTGTTATCTATTGAGTAACCTTTTTGGTTTCTCTCTTTGTAACCTCTGTAGAGCTCCTCTTGTCTGCTGTTGAAATCATTATGTAGTCTACTGCAGAATTTTCTTGCATTGTCATACTCCTGTCCTTAAAAAAAATTCAATAAATAAAAAGAATGGACTATTAGAGCTGTATCCAGGGCCATCTTAATGCACGGGCCAGCTAGGAACTTGCCCAGGAGCCTTACAAACATATAGGCCCCATGCTAATCCATTTACATTTTATTTTCATGAGTAGTTGTTATAAGGGCCCTTGCACACTGATTTGCATAATAATAGACAGTCATATGGTCTTTTTGGCTGTGTCTAATTTCAAATCTAGAATTGAGTTTTTACAAAGGCTGTTATTCTTGATTGGGCTCCTGGGCAAGTTCCCAACTGGTCCATACATTAAGATGGCCTGATACCGTTCCAACAAGTTATCACTCCTTTTATTTATCTATATAATTAATCACTCTCTCACCCTAATAATTCATTTGATGCCAAAGTGTCCATTTTACCAAAAATTATAAGGGAGGAATCGTCCTTTTCACTATTGTCCTATGAATTCCAAACTTCTCTGTAAATTCTGTCAAGTAACTTTGTTATTTTAAATAGTTAATAGTGGATTTTTAAGTTCGTGAGTCTTTCTAAACTTAATTAGTCTTTAACCTGATTCTCAATTTTACAGAAACACCAAAATTACTATTAATATGTCTGTGCTCATATAACATTATTGTCATAAATGTCATATATTCTTCAACATATTATTGTATCAAGTTGATATTCATACAAAAGACAAAGTCTGTTATGTTCCTTTTGGGTCTCCAGTGTAATCTTTCACTTAAAAGTGATATGCAATGTTCATATAAGTACTCTGTAATACAGAAGACATTTTACAATTCTGTAGTATTATTTATAAATTATGTGCAATGTTCATATCACCGTTTGTACATTTTATGATCCCATAATTTCTTGCTTTTACTTAATGATGGAAGAAACAAGCTAGGAAGAATAGAAGAGTTGCCACAATAAAACAAAAAAGTGTTGCATGTACCAATAACATAAGAGCATATAAGAAGCATGCATGTAATATCTTTATTCCCTTATCTAAAGGTGAATTGAAGAGAGGTAGGCAATTCCAAATGTTTCAATGTATGTCTGATGACAAGTATTGTTCATTATTTTGTTTGGATACAAACTGTGGAAATTATAGAGCATGAGAGCAAGTAATTGAAAAATTCAGTACGAACTTCAATGGAATCAAATTTAGGTCCTCTGACTTATTAGGTTGATGTCATGACTATTATAAAAAATACCATCCATTAAAAGCATGCGTGAACATAAGCATAAGCAATACTTTCCTTATTAGCATTCTTATTAAATGTATTGGGTACTGCTCAGAATCTTTCAAATACTTGTTCATCTAATTCAGTTTTATCTCACTGTCATATGTCATGCATTTATACCATTATTTTAAATCAATCCCATATTCAAGTTGTTTATTTTACCCTCTCTAAACTAGGATTCATGTATCTTTTAAAATTTTCAGCCTGAAAATCACCTCTTGTCCCATATGTTTTGCCATTGAAAATTATCAACCCTCTTTTCAATCATACATTTATTATTTTCTGCTCTCAATAAAAATAAAATTTTATGATCAAATTTGCGATGGTATATTAAGTTGCAATGTATAAAAGGTAACATTTTATATGAATTTCCAAAAGCAATTTGTCTTAAATAAAGTCAAAATTTTCTTAAAGGGCATAAAACTGAAATTTTTGTGGAAAGTTGTAGTAGTAAGTGTCATTTTACATATTAAACCACAGTTTTTCTAGTTATTAGAAATATATACAAATGTAAGCATTATGTGATCTATTTATAATACAGGCAACCTGTATAAGTAGTCACTCCCAATAGAAGTCAACAGTTGAAATTTCTGAGTTCGGATAGATAAGAAATAAGCTTAAATCCAAGAATTAGTATGTGTGCTTTTCAGTGAAGAATCAAAATTCAGCTTAAAATCTGATTATTGCTCTGCTAACCTCTGGAAAGATCCATGAACCCAAAATGCTCAATCTGGTAGTAAATAAACTGGCCTTGGTTGTGATCATGGTAGTGCTGTTTGAATTACTTTAAATGGATAGACATATGCTGCTATGTTTCAAGACATTTCCCTAGCTGTTTGAAGTTTCAGGGATAAGAGGCATTTTGGTCTTTAAGTTCCATTTTGCAGAATGGTATTTGCTGTCATAGGTTTGGTTAAATAAAAAAACTTCTTGGAGGTGTTGATATTTAGAAAAGGACTGACTAAATCTCCAGACCTAAGTACCCTAGGGCATTTCTTGGATATTCTGGAACAAAAGCATAGCAAAATATCATCCTCATTCAAAAGCTTACTGAGATTAAAAGATGTCTTATTGGAAGAAAAGAATTCACTACCAAAATTTTTTCTTAATACAGTTTAAACAATATGATTGCTGATTTTGAAATTTGCACAGCAGTTGGTCTAATCACATGCCCCACTAGCTCAACTCAAACTGCTTTATCTATCTATCTCACTTTCATACTTTCCTGCGTATACATGATGAAGAGTAAATAATGATTCTTGAGTATGATATATGATAATTAGACATCTTTTTTATTATTTTTCATATATGAATGTGTCTTTCTATGTTAAATTTCATTCAATTATTTTACATATTTCTTGATAAATTGTCATTTTTTTTTTCAATTTAATTTTCATTACTGTATTTAACTATGATGTTTGACCAGTCAGTATAAAAAAGCTGCTTATCATTATAAAATTTGAAAGTTTTTTTTTTTAAATGAATGCAAATTATCCTCCCCCTTTAAGATACAATAACTCGGACATTCATTTAAAGGGCCCCCCAGCAGCCGAGTGGTAAAATCATTGAACATTGGTAATTGAAACCTGGGTTTGAATCCAAGTGAATGGGCTGGCTGCATAGGCATCTTCACGGTTTATTCCTTGTGGAACATGTATATGAGCCAGTTTCCCTTAGAAAGCTTCTTGGAAAGAGCTAGTTTCCCTCAGGTAGATAGTCCTAGTGTTCTTTGCCATAATCAATTAAACCAAACCGAACCTTTCATTCAAAATCGTGTAATTTTTTTTTCACTATTCAGCTTCAGAGTATGTATTGGGAAGCTGTTAGACCAACAAAGCCAGAACTTTCAGGATGCCATAATTAATTCAAAAGATGATAATAAGCAAGTCAAACGGAAAATAAAATAACTAAATACATCTATGAAATTTTTCTTAATTCTTTCAAACAAGGATTACCTGCTTTCTGTTCTCAAAAATAATTTTCTGCACAATTGAGCTGTTTTCTAAATTATGTATTTATTAACCGGACAATTAAAAAGGAAAATGGGAAAGGCCAACCCTTCAAGAAATACTTTTATTGAGCTGAGAGATTCAGGATAGCTATCAAAGCCATTCTGTGAATTATGAAAAGAGGGGGGGATATATGATTAGTTACTGGACATAGCCATCTTTTTAAACTACAAAAATAATGACCATTGTACTTGAACATTCCTATTCTAAAGGGTTAATTCAATGCATTAGATGAGTAATAATTCTAAGCTTCTTCATTCAGTGATAGAGAATTTTTTAATTTTTATTTATTTATTACTGCTTATTATTATTTATTTTTAATAGTAATGAGCTTCTTGCTGAAATCTTAGAAAAAGTTACATTTAAACTCAAAAGGAAATTTTATGTAACCATATATGTTTCATGATAAACTAGATAAACATGCTAAATGCATTAAATACTTAATGTGTCTATAATACAATTGATAACAAGTAAAATGTTTAAAAAAATACTGAAATTGTTCATTAAGGATTGACTGTAACCATTATGTATCTCCATAAGAGCAGTGTTATATAATTATTGTTATCTGTGTTGTGCACTGAAACAATAAATATCTTCTGAAAATGGTTAGTCTATTAAAAATTTAGTGAATTAGCAAAATGAAACAAATATGGGCATTATGTGAAATTTTTAAAGTTATTATTTTCTAACCATACATTGTATTAAGAAATTAAATAAAAATGCTTTTATTGTTTAAGTATGAAATTTAAAATGGGATTTTCAGATGTTACTTGAAGTGATTTTAATCACTGATGTTACTAAAGAAATATTATGAAACAAAAGTTTAGAAATTAAATATCATTCTTAGAGTATTCACATATGTAGCAAGAAATAATATGTTTAAATAATTATCTTTTTAAAATATGGTTATGGGTGAATTTATTAACTGAGCTGGAGCTGTGATTTTTGATTTACTATTGAGTGCAAAAAAAAAAACCTCTGACTTGCCATTTCTCTTCCATGATGTTTGCAAATTCATAAAAATCTTTAATCAAAAATCTAAAACCGCTGCTCAAGATCCTAAAAATAGGCCATTCTAAGATTTCTAAGGATATTTTACTGTGAATTATTGAATTTAGTGAAAAATATAATGTTGGATATATTTTTATAATTTAAACCTGAGTTGCTGATTACAAAGATTATTAATTTGTTTTCTTTACAGTATGTTTGCTTTAAATGAAAAAGATTTAGTTAATTATATTTCGTATAAATTATTTCAGTGGATCTTTAGAAATAAAAGGGCTAATAATAGAATCCATAATGGATAAAACTGTAAATTATTTCATTCTAATTTTTCAAACTGTTACCAAATAGAACAAGGAACTTCTATTTTACCAAATAGAAGAATTTGAAAGTCTTATAAAATAAAAGAGCAATGCAAAACAATTGCAAGAAATTTAAAAGTTTTGATGGTGTTTGCTTCTTAACAAATCAAGCTTGAAACAGGATTTCTTTGTGCGAGTCACTGTATGTTGTTTTATAACTTAAATAAAAATTTAAAGATGAAATTTTTATTATTTATTTTGGGGGATGTGTCAGAAAAGTTGCTGTGCTGATAATAAAAGACTTTATGACAAATTTTAATTCTATGCATTGAATTAACTTTAAAATCACCATTTTTTCCCCTACAGTGAACTTACCTGTGAAACTGATCCATATTTTACAGGTCATAAATAAACTTCCCTATGCTAGAGCAGAATGTTACTTCTTTAATGCAAGTGTGATGCTTTTCACAGATGATCAAAGTCCTTTTGGGCCATCTTAGACAGAATTCGTTTTACATGTAATTTATTTATATTTGTTTAAATATATAATTTACATAAATACCTTTTGGCTGTGTGCTAGCTGACATCGATCAGCTAGAAATATGTAGTAAACTGTGACTCTGTACAAATTCATAAGTTCTAGAATTTCTCAAAAATGTTTCAGAACTGTTTGCAAAAAAAATTAAACCTTCATATCTCAAATGTGTATATGCTATTGATAACTTTTGTAATGTCATGAGTATCATTACTTAAAAGTGATCAAAATTTATCGAATTGAAATTGGTTTCGTTTTGAATTTTAGAAGCATTTATGAAATTTTTATTACAAGAGATACTAAATAAAAGAATAAAAGAGAAAGCACCATAATGTAATACAGGGAAGAAGGAATACTAATAAAATACTACAGTATAACATATATTAGTATCTTTTATTACCAAAAATAGTTTTGTTTAAAGTTGTAGTGAAGAAAAAATTGAAAGGAGTGCACAACTGCATGTAAAATAAACTGTTTTGAAAGTTTCAGTATTTTCAAACTGGGTGGAGAGATATCATGTATTTTTTTATTTTTAATAAAGCATGAAAACAGAACCAGTCGTTATATGTTGCTTTGATTGTGGGATAAAAAATTGCAGTTAAATGAGCACATAACAGCTCACGGTTGTTTACCTTATAAGGTATTTCTCCCGCCTTCCTAGCATGCCTTCGTGGTTTGGTGGTCTGCAGGCTGGGCGCGTATTCCAGAGGTCCGTGGTTCAATTCCCAGTGAAGGCGGTTGCTGATTTTTCATCTTACCTGCTTCGAAATTACCTAATGTCTCTACAACTTACACAAGGGAGCTTCCTACTTCGCTCTTGCTGTTTGCGAATGCCTGAATGAACTGTTCCTTGACCGGTGGATAGGACGTGGGTCCCCCAAATTCACAAACTTCTTATCCTTGGCCTCATCGAAGTCTGGACATTACGATACGAGACATTGCCCTGTATAGGATCATCAAATCATACGCCAGGAAGAAGCAGTACGTGGACAATGATTGGCAAGTGTGATTGAAGTCTTCCAGCATGTGACACTGCAGCTGCTAAAGAGAATGAATACGAGATCATTCAGCCATATCAAACTGGGCAGGAATGATGGTAGTGCACATATGGACGTTTTGGACAAATGACTATGAGTGTTATTAAAGTTACAATAAAATAATTGCACGTGTAAGGAGACTTTCTGGCCACCCTGTGCAATGTACTACCTCGGTTAGAAGATCTTTTGTATATAAAAGTTTTATGATGAAATTTTCAAGATTACTTTATGTAATAAATTATTGTTTAGAAAGCAGTCTGGTATAGTGTTTTCATTTATTTAACAAATAATTATTCAAATTTCTTTATCAATGAATGGAAATCATTAAGTACTACGTCCTTTTCATACTTTGATTTTCTGTTCTGCATTTGATGCTTTGATTTCACACTTGTGATGCATGGGTGACGCCAACCAACAAGATGCACAGAGGGAGCTGGCTCTCAATCTGAAGGCGCCAAAAGTTTAGTTTCCAAGAGGGAGACCGACAGAGAAGTCATAGGGAACGCTCGTGGGAGCCATTAATGAAACCGAAATTAACTTGTATTTCTTTATATATATTTCATTTATTAGTATTGTAGTTTTAGTATTAGTTTGTGTTTGTGCAATAAAAGTCCAAAATAAAAAAAGTTGGAGTTATTTCTCGATGAGGCGGAGGATGAAGAAAGGGGTGATATTAAAACACTCGTTCCCCCCCCCCACTCTTTAGTCGAAAAAAGGCATCTGCTGACATAATTATCGTATTCTTTCTTCATCAATAATATGGAATAAATTACTTGCTTCACTATCATAATATTCTTCCTGAAGAATGATAAATAAACATAAATCTACGTATACTTTAGGTCTTGAAAATGCCACCCCGCAACAGTACTTTCTTCTTAGTTTTTTTAACGATATATAAATCTTATTCGATTGCATCTTGAAAATAGATCGTGCTTTCTCTCTCTCTCTCTCTCTCTCTTTTTTTTTTTTTTTTTTTTTTTTTTTTTTTGTCATTTCATGAATATTACGAAGGAAAACTTTTCTCATCAACAGTTTACTAGCTTTCTACCATCGCTTTGAATTGATCGTATCATTCTCATACCTAGAAGATTGATACAGTAGTTCCCCCCGTGGTTGTTACAAGCTCTGACTTTAAGTGCTGAGCTGTAGACTTCATGTTACGATGGGCAGCTATTGCCAGATACCGATCTTGAGAACCCGATCTTGATCCCGATGCCAGATACCGATCTTGATGGTCCTGAACCATCTGTGGAAATGAATATTTTCACAGATGGTTCAGGACTCGAGGGGGGTATTGGAGGTGCGATCGTGGTATTCTTCTATGGAATTGAAATACAAAATTGGAAATTTCGTTTAAATTCTATGAATTCTGTCTATCAAGCAGAAATGTATGCTATTTTTGAAGCTCTCAATTGGATTAAAGGCACATTGAAAATTAGATATAATATAAATATTATTCTGATGCACTGTCGGTGCTTACAGACCCTCTCGGGTCCTGAAAGTAAAAACTCTTCTTGTATTTGAAATAAAAAAGACATATGCACAATTGAAAGATTTACATAATATTAAGCTTCACTGGATAAAAGCACACGCAGGATATGAGGGGAATGAGAGGGCGGACGAATTAGCTAAGTCTGCAGCTGTGGATGAAAATGTGATTATTAAAAATATCCCAGACTTCTAGAAGAAGGGCCACCTCTACTCTATATTTAATTACATGTATTGAACGAATGGAAAAATAATTGGGAACAATCTAATAGAAATTGTGGTTTAATGAAAAATATAAAGATTCAAAAGAAAATGAAGGTTATAAAGATATAGATGCCAATCCAAATGCTTACGGGACATGGACGCTTCCCTGCATATTTGAAACGATTTGGATTGCAGGACAATGATATAATGTAATATTTGTAATGTCACTGGAGACTCTATGCATTTCTTTGAGAACTTGTATTATTACTGGGAGTGCAAGGGATAGATATCGAAAAATATTATAGAAGTGATTTCAAGAAAAATTATAAGAACTTTGTGGAATATTCTAGACAAATTAATGAAGATTGTGAATAGCTTCAAGAGAAGCCATAGGAATTTATGTGTGAATGGTGTTTTTGTATTGTATTTGCCTGGTTATGTGTTGGCTTATTATTATTTTCTAACAGTTCCTTATTATTTTATTATGTTCGTTTGTGTGAATGTTTAAGGTCCAGTGATGACATGAATTCACTGGTCGTATTTATGATTTTGTTTAGTTCTCTTTTTCCTAACTTTTTGTTACCCGGTTCCTGGGGTTTGGCTTTGGTTTCCGGGATTCATAGTTTAATATTTTATTTGTTTGTTTTTCTTTGTTAGTTTTTGAGCACGGCCGGGTCTCTGGCCCCTCGTTTGTTGTAAGATGGGCCGGCCCTTGTGATACGTCATATGACCAAGTGTTCTTGGTTAGGTGGGCTGAGGGCTGCGCCCCCGTTAATTCACCGATCTTGAGAAGCAGTTGTTAGGAACTTATGTAGACCTCCTTACAATAGTTACAGAATTCATAAATTGTTTGCATAAGTTAGAAACTGTCTGTCTTGAAATACGATTCTTCTGTGATTGTCTGCCCTACTTCTAACTGGCTGATGATTCGCTGTGGAGTGCAAGATTGCGCCCTGTCGTTGGCCGAGAGCCTTGAGCACCATACAAATGACAGTACGACTTTGCTCAGTTTCGCCCTCAATTTTGATGGGGAGTACTCCAGGGGGAAGGGTCCGAGAGTCTCCCACCCCTCTTCCACTATCACAACCTCTCCAGCTCGCCGCATATTTAGAGTATTCCCATGCCGCACGGACACTATACATTTACAAACCTCCATCCATTCTCCGGGATTCGAACCCGTGCCTTTTGGTACCGCAGTAGGTTTTCCTAACCACTATACCATTTGATTGGCTCTACTTTCTATAGATCATCCTAATGTTTGGTGTTTAGCGCTTTTGTGAATTCTTGATTTCTCTACATTTTCTGGTGAGATCTAAAGATTTTATGGTTGGCATTTATCTAAATTAACACTTAAAATAGCCACCTCTGCATTTGCTTTCGTTTTAAAAGATTCTTGAAATAAAGTTCAAATTTTTTTAAAAAAATTCTCTTGACAAAGTGAACCTCAGGGGTTGAAAAGTTTTGTTTATACCTTTTGATTTGATTTGATTATATAAATTTCGTTTTTATTTTCTTAATAAATATAGGTGTACTTTAAAAGAACTATTTTTTTAAATTTCTAATTCAGATTTCGGATTTTATTTTAATTAAAAACCTTTGACAATTAATCGAATGATGTTTTGTTATTATTATTATCATCATCATCATTAATAGGTTTGTAGGATTATTTAAGTTAAATCTGTAAAGATGCTAAAATATTCAGTATTGTCAGTGTTTTCTCCTACCTGGTAAGTAGTTGCCATGTCAATTTCTGCAGTTGGTAAAAAAATAAATAAGCCTATGGTGGTTAGAGAGTGATGGATCTAACTAGATTACAAAATAAATTTCTTTGCTTTAATATTTTATTGGATTTAATGAATTTGGGGTCATTAATTTTTATTAAATGTTCAAGTCTGAAAGCAGGTCTAAACCTCAGCTTGAAAGAAATAAAAACCTGTAGTGATACTTTTCGAACAGTGTATATGACGTTCGGTATTGTTCATAGGTTTCATATACCTATTTTAAGTCATAGAATATATTGCTTCCTTGTTTCTAGTATATAGCAGTATCCCTGTATATCAGAAACCAGAGGAAAAAATGCATGTAAATCAATTTCTTTGCTTCTGAAGGATGTGTATCTTCAACTTGTTGCGATTTGTAAATAATGATTACCGAGCGATATTCATCCCATTAGGCTCAAAATAGGTATCTATTTCAATTGCTAATACACGTTTGTAAATACTCATCTCGATATGTATGAAACAAAGCTTTGCTTTACATAAAAAATTTAAAATGTGCAGATGTTTGCATTAAGTGAAAATCTTTCAAATCGCCTTATTCGTAATGGTTAGGTTAGGTTATTTGATTACGACAAAGCCTTGAGGACTATCTGCCTAAGGGGAGGGATGCCTTCGTGTAGGACTTTCTAAGGGAATCAGACTCGTATACGCGTTACACATGGGAAAACCATAAAAACACCCATGCAGCCAATCCGTTCGCGGGATTCGAACCTCGGACCGAACTACCAGTGTTCAGCGACTTTAACGCTCGGCCGCTGGTGGGCCCCGAATTCATAATGACGACATTCTGGTCACGGTTGAATAGTTCTTACCTAGATGTCTCGGCTCTGCAATATTAATCTCTGACCACGGATAGTGTGATCGTAAACAACAAGAATATGCGATCTGGACGGGTTTATAAACGAAAGATAATGAGTGGGTGTAAAATATGCTCTACAAGAACTGTATATATTTTTGTTTTTCCCTCGCACATTAATCCACTTAATTTGGATTATGATAAGAATGGCGATCTGTGTGTGTTTATAACTCAAAAAAAAAAAAAAAAAAAAAAAA